TTCTGTCACTTCTGAAATGATGGCTATGCCCCTGGTGGGACAAAATGTTAGCCTATACATAATACTTTTAAAGCTCTTTTTTTTTTTTTTTTTAAATCTTGTCTTACATGCATACATTTTTACGTATGCCATGTCATGCCATAGCGTCATTAAAGGGGTCATATGATGCGATTTTAAATTTTTCTTTTCTCTTTGGAGTGTTACAAGCTCTTGGTGCATAAAGAAGATCTGTAAAGTTGCAAAGACTAAAGTCTCAAATCCAAAGAGATATTCTTTATAAAAGTTCAGAGTCAGCCACGCCTACCTAAAACAGCTCGTTCTAACATAACATATCTACGTCACTATGTGTGAAGATTTGCATAACGCCACCCAAATGTTCAAGCAGCATCATATGACCCCTTTAAACTAGCATCTAACAATGGACAAAAGTGTTTTTTTTTTCTCTAACCTATGGTTCTGTAAACATAAAGGCTGCTGTGTAATTTGCCCCCTGACTAAGCATTTAAAGAATTTAGGGGAAGCATTTAAATAATCCTGTGAATGCAGTTAAAGAATGCAGAATCGAATCGTAATAATTGAATCGAATCGAATTTAATTGTGAATCGAATTGAATCATTCTAAATTTGCAAAAATCGTTCTTGAATCGAATCGAATCGAATCGCTGTCTACCCAGAGATTCACAGCCCTAGTATTTACATAATGTAATACTTAACGTTTAGTAATACTCATAGGAGGAGCCATTTCGGAAATACTGCACAGTTCCAGATGAAGATTTTCATCATGTGGTAGCATTATCAGATCATGAGCCTTGTGTTCTGAATCAAAGTCAGTCTTCGTTTACATTTTACTCATTCAGCTGAATACAGAACGTCTTTAGTGCTAATGCAAAGATTGACATTTAATCACTAAAATGTGTCTTCATTAAAACACTTTTTTTTCCCTCTTACAACCCTGCTCATCACAAGTCAGTTTGAATCAGAGCAAGAGACGAAGAGAGAGGGTTTGGGAATACTGTGTAGGCGCTGGTGTTATGTAATTGGAGCCTCTTGAAGCAAACAAGCTGAATAAAGATCCGCTCAAATACGCTGGAGGGTAGGAAGACGCAGGCAGAAACAGATGCAGGCTATCAGTGATTTGTGAAGATTATTATGGGTCAGTGTAAATGTTATTAAACGTGTAATTCTTTTTAATTCTTTTTTTTTTTTATCTTTCATTTTCATTTGATCTTTTCCTCATTCAAAATTGTCCATATCACGTGTCACAAAATATTAACTAGCACAACTGTTTTTAGCATTGATACTAATGATAAATATTTCTTGAGCAGCAAATCAGCATATTAGAATGATTTCTGAAGGATCATGGGACACTGAAGACTGGAGTAATTTTTGCTGAAAATTCGGCAATTTAATTAATACATTTAAAATGTATTAAAAAACTGATGTTTTAAATTCTAATAATATATAATCATAATATTACTGTTTTTAATGTATTAATGATGAAATAAATTCAGCCTTGGTGAAAAAAAAAATAAAAATTATTAAACTTACAAATATCTAATGTGTTAATGGATTTGCCATTATTTTATCCGCTGTATATTTACACTTGAGTTTATTGCATTAATCAGATTCTGCAGCAAGTGCTTCATTTACTTTAGATGTCAGAATGTGTTCTCAAATTTGAGCTCGTAAAAAAATGAAAATTCGGCAATTTAATTAATACATTTAAAATGTATTAAAAAACTGATGTTTTAAATTCTAATAATATATAATCATAATATTACTGTTTTTAATGTATTAATGATGAAATAAATTCAGCCTTGGTGAAAAAAAAAAAAAAAATTATTAAACTTACAAATATCTAATGTGTTAATGGATTTGCCATTATTTTATCCGCTGTATATTTACACTTGAGTTTATTGCATTAATCAGATTCTGCAGCAAGTGCTTCATTTACTTTAGATGTCAGAATGTGTTCTCAAATTTGAGCTCGTAAAAAAATTACGGCAACAAAACTGATCCTGAAAGAGATTTGCCGATACCCAGTCAGAACACCAGCTCCAGCATGAGATCCAACATTTTTCTTGTGAAAAAGTGGTACTAGTATTTCCACTATGAGAGGTGTTCTTTTACCTCGATGATTGTCAGGTCTCTCTTCAGTAAAGCCTTTGTGACTTAAACAAACACTCAACACGCCTCCATTCTGCCCTCTGAATGCTGTGAGGTCACTATATTTCTGCAGGAGACCCACACACACAGTGTGGGTGAGGAGCACAGGATGTAGTATCAGCCCTAACCTCTGTGTGACAACATCATACGTAACCTTTAACCTAATTTCTCTCTCGCAAAATCAGTTTTACACCAAATCTCTCACACTCAGGGTTCATAAGCTCTATCTTCTCTGTACATTTACAAACATTGATATCTGAATTTCAGATTGACTTCAAGTCTTTGCTCTCCCTCACAGACGGTTCCTGGGTCGAGTCAGGGGCCCGTGTGCTGAAGCTGGGGGTGTTGCCAGTTAAAGCCCTGCTGGTGGTGGGTGAACACGTCTGGGCCTCATCAGGAGGGCAGATCTTCATCATCAGCACACAGACACACACTGTGGAGGTAGTACAGCACTTTTCACACATTTCTGTTATGACAACTCTCTGAAGATTTTAGCATGGTAATGGATATGACAGTGTTAATGTATTTAGTCTCTACTGCTGCAAGCAAGTACAGGAACTTGCTACTTACAATACATATGCTGATATGATGCTGTGATTTAAGACATACTACTGCTGCACAAGTAGCATATATAATAACTCGTAGCAGATCAATACAGGTGGAGCTGGGGAAGGGGGAGGCAACAAGAACTAATCGGCTTGTGCCAAGTCTTTTAACGCTGTGAATATCATCAGTTTACGTTTACAGGCTTACAGCACCCATCAGCCTGTGCCATCTAGAGATTCATGACAGAACTTGGCATTTCTGCACCTGTTTTGCTACTGAAATTACCAGGTTTTAGTTTAGCAAATAGTCTTACAGTCTGCAAGAATCCATTTCTTACTATAAAATCTAAATATTTTACTGGAGACACTAATATAAAACATATATTAATATTATAAAACATATAAACATTTCAAAACATGAACCTTCAATGATTTGTTTACACCTAGGTATCAAATTTGAGACAGGAAGAGACCCTCTGACCAACATGTTAAGCCGCCAACCAGTCACAGTTATTTTATGTTTATGGCATTTTGGGTGCAGGTTCATCTGAAGCATTTAGCAAAATAGTAGAATAGCCCATTTTATGGAGCACTGGAATGGTGGTGGTGTGGTATTTCTGGCACGTCATTTCATTGCAACTTATGACAGTGTCTATCTTGTAGAGATGTGTTTAAGTATGAAACCTGTGGGATAAATGAATCCACTAATATAAAACATATATTAATATTATAAAACATATAAACATTTCAAAACATGAACCTTCAATGATTTGTTTACACCTAGGTATCAAATTTGTGATAATTTGATAACTTTAGAATGAAATAAGAGGTATTTTCCCACACTCTCATCTCATCAGGTCTTTAAAAGTCTGTTGCAGTAAACCAAATGGACAGAATATTGCAAGTGTTCTGCATGGAAATAGGCTTTAGACTATTATTTGCATATTTAAAGATATGTGTGGGTGTATATTATGACCTAATACTATGATGCCACTAACAGCTGTCTATAATTTATCTTAAGAGAGTGAAAACTCTGTTTCTTCACTCAGTCTCACAGCACATAGGGCCAGAAAGGCCTGCTGTGATCTCAGAATATTAAAGCCATGTGTTCTCTCTCCTACACGCAGACACTGACACACTGACCTGTTATGCAGCCAGCATCACTAAGCTCATTACCCTTCAACAGCTCTGCTTACTGTTAAACGATTGGCTGGAATGGTAGAGAGTGAGGGAGGGATGAATATGTGAGAGGTGTGCTGGAAAGAAATACGAAATCAGTGATGCAAATAGAAAGTAGTGTTTGAGATCATCTTTGAGATGAAAATCACAGATTCTGATGTGCAGAAATGCAAGAGCCAAATTGTTTCTCTTTTTTTCCAGTCTTAATAAAGTGGCGCTTCTGATGTGCTTGTGGGACACGCATTCGTCAAACCCTGTTAAATTTCCCATTGCAGTTCCTTGTTATTTTGTTTGCTCCAGCAAAGACGTCAAGCTGTAGCATATCAGAATCCAAATGTCATCCTCTCTGAGTGAAGTGGGTCAAATCACAATCTCTTTTTCCTACTCTGGACCTTCTTTTGGGTTACCTCATTCCTCAGTTCGGTAGGTTACACAGGCAGAGTTTTCCAGAAATTAAGCCAAGCAAAGTCAGGCCAGTGTTTTCAAATCCAGCCAAGCCTAAGTAGAAGTATGTTTGAGTTCAGATGCTTGTGTATTTATAAAAAGTGTGTGTGTGTGTGGATGTTGACAGCGTCAGTTTGAAGCCCATCAGGAAGAGGGAATGGTTGTGTCCCACATGGTGGTGGCCGGGGTCGGGATCTGGATATCCTTCAGCACCGGCTCCACCATCCGACTCTTCCACACAGAGACTCTCGACCACCTGCAAGACATCAATATCGCCACAGCTGTCAGCAACATACTCCCAGGTACAGTATACTATGTTACGTCGTCACAAAACATAACAGAGGATGCTGTTAATACTCTGCTGGACTACCAGTGGAGTTGCTAATGCAGTTCTTACTAAACTTGTTTTTGCAGCTTATATCCCATTAAAATTATTCCCTTCCACACTGTCATTCTCAAAGTTAAGCCCTTAGAGACAGCTCCCTGTCATTTGTTGTCCTCAGACAGTGGCAGATTACAGGTGACTCTGCTGATTTACAGCTTTCTGTTTATATAATAACATGACATCATGAGTGGGCGTGTGGTTTTGTCATGTGGAAGAACAGAATTACAGAGTCTCTTTTAGAATCACAGAGCCATGTTACTTCATTTAAAACTAAAAAAAAATTTAAATAACCGGATCTTATTCATTTCCTTACTCCGATGATGTCATGTTGGTCTGCATTTTTTTTCTTAAAGCAAAATGAAAAGGTGTCTGTTTTTGCCATTATTGAATTAAAGCAGGTAGATTTGACACCTTATTTGTAGAAAAGCTTTTTAGGGGAAATCAGGGGTTGAGTTTCCTTAGTGTGGCAGTATTTCACATTTTTACTCATTGTGTTGTTTGGATTTTATCCAGCATTTGTTTTTAGTTGTTCTGAATGGGCCATTTGTGTTCAGGAAGCCATTCAGAGAGCGATTATACTAGAAATGACCTCAGCATTGGTTTTTGTTCTCTGTCTTTCTGCTTTTTATGGTGGCTACATAATAGCTTTAATGTGTGTGTGTGAGCAGTTATGTTCGAATACTAACTTCTCAGTGATTAAAAAGTCCACATTGGCCCTAAATAATCCTCGCCGAATATTCCCAAATTAACCAACCGTGTCAGTCGGGCAGCAGGCATGTTGGCCGCTTTAACATTAGCTGGGTTTAGGACTGGGGCTGTAATCTTTTTGAATCGTAATCTCTGCCAAAATGTCTTTTCTTGTGTAATTAGTAAATTGCAGTCTAAGGAACTTAGTCTTGCACAGCCAGATTAAACTGCATGAGTTTTGGTCCATATTGCATCTTATTCTGGCCAAGAACCACCTACTTGGACAGGAAGAGACCCTCTGACCAACATGTTAAGCCGCCAACCAGTCACAGTTATTTTATGTTTGTGGCATTTTGGGTGCAGGTTCATCTGAAGCATTTAGCAAAATAGTAGAATAGCCCATTTTATGGAGCACTGGAATGGTGGTGGTGTGGTATTTCTGGCACTTCATTTCATTGCAACTTATGACAGTGTCTATCTTGTAGAGATGTGTTTAAGTATGAAACCTGTGGGATAAATGAATCAAATGTGTTGAATGTATAGATAGGGATTGAGTCACTCGCTGCACATGTGCTCTGTTAATGAGAGGGCTGTTTCTTTATTCTCCAGGGCTGAATAAAGAAGCTTTATTTAAATCTCCATAGTGACAGGGGGGACCAGGCACGCTCTGACTGTGTGTTGGGAATCCCTCACTGAATATGTTGTATCTCGTTCTCTCCTTATGTCTGGAAATGATAACGATCGTTATTCATAAGTACATTACTTTTGAGGTAATTTATATCTTTTTTTTTTTTTTTAGCTCTTTAGGCTCTGTGAAATACATGAGCGGCCTGCTATTTATATGGAAATTTAATTGGCAAAGGTTATCAAAAGTTTCCAGGGTTCCCTGCAGTTTTCAGCAAGATTAATAGCTTGGTTGTTTAACTTAAAAATGAAGCAATTAAGGCAGCCATAAATATTAGTATTGTAAAATATTTTTTATTGTACAAGTCAGTATTACAGTAGTAATGCTTCTTATTTTGTTTATTATTTTAATAGCACTCATATTGGTATGTAATCAAATATCATGAAAGGCAGTGCTGGTCGCCTCCCATGCTGTGTTGTGTCTTTACTTGTCTCTTAGGTGTTTCTTGGGATTTTATGGGATTTTATGCTCTTTCTGTTGGTAGTTCAGTGGCTCATCAATGGAATTATGTGAAGTTTGAATAACCTTGAAGGACAAACGTTTATTGCTGAGTGAAACTGACACTGTATGGAAATCCATTCAGTTTCAACCCTTAAACTGAAAAAAAATTGCTGTTAAAGAAGGTTATGACACAAAAAAATTGATGTGTACTACCAAAGGAGGGAAATTCATCTGTATCATATTTCTGTAGCTCCTGAGTTTAACTTCAGTACAGCTGAATACAATCATTTTGCATGGCTAGCAGTCACCTCAGACAGAGAGAACCTGAAACCCTTTTGATTTGTGTTCAGTAACGCAAGAGCAGATTTAAGGATGAGGGATTGGTAGCGTAATTCCTTTCATGTTGTGTCCTGACCTTGGCGAGATGGAGTCTGTCCTGAATTTACCTTACAGAAACCACACATCACTTTGTCTGTACAACAGTGTCTTATGTAACATTTGCTGAACTGACTGGCAGACATGGTCATGATCCCTTCTCCCGGTAATGGATTTTCCAGCTGCTAAAACATTGTTTGCATTCCATATGTGCTGGTGTTTGTCTGATATATTACAAATGTACCAAAGCTTTTTAAATCCATTTGTCGTCATAATGAGAACAACCACCTTTTTGTGAGTTGCAGAAAGAGTCATCCTCTATCAAGAGTTGAGTGAACGTCTTGAAATGCATATTATGACTTTGGTGGAAATTATAAAGACTGATATCAGTGTGTGTGATAGTAGAGGCAGTGGTATTTGTCTCTGATGGCTTTGTCTCCTGTGACCCAAATACTCACTCATGTGAGTAAGTAATGGCACAAACAGAGCAGCCACCACAAAAACAGCTGCACTGACTCTTGGGGTTCAGATAGATCTTCATTATCGCATCAATTATGTATGGACAATGTTTAATTTTTTTAATTGAAAGGACGTTACTTCAGGAACTCTTTTAGCCCCATTAGTAGTTAATGCTTGGATAGATTTTTTTTTCCCCCTTAGTGTCTGAAAAATTGCACAATGTTTAATTTTCCTCCAGCTTGTTAGATCAGCATTAGAACTGCTTACATTCTGACATGTTGATACTGGTTGTGATTTGGTTTGTTTAAATATAATGAAATGCATTACAGAGAGTCATTTTTCATGTTGCTCATAAGATTTCCACCACCATCAAATCAGCACATGCTTTTCTGAGTTGCTCATTGACAAATCAGTTTTGATTGTTCTTGGCACGATTTATAATAAAGTGTGTCAGTCTTTTGATGGTGGTACAAAGACATCAGCTACAATATCATTCAACTAGCAGGCGATTAATTGAACAGCTTAGCATGGTTAAAACACTAAAGACGGCTTGTACAGATAGTCTTATACAAAATAAATTGTACACATGATAGATGTACACTGACGTTGATCAGGGTTATTAGTTAACTGAAACTAAAACCATAAAAATACAATAAATTTTAACTAAGATAAAGTAAAATATTCAAAAACCTAAACTTATTTTATTTCAGATAAACTTGATGCCAACTCAATCGGCCATGTCCATGTCTTTCTGTCCCACTTCTGAAAGTCAGACTGGAGACACACACACACACACACAGCGGCTTGTACAGATAGTCTTATACAAAATAAATTGTACACATGATAGATGTACACTGACGTTGATCAGGGTTATTAGTTAACTGAAACTAAAACCATAAAAATACAATAAATTTTAACTAAGATAAAGTAAAATATTCAAAAACCTAAACTTATTTTATTTCAGATAACCTTGATGCCAACTCAATCGGCCATGTCCATGTCTTTCTGTCCCACTTCTGAAAGTCAGACTGGAGACACACACACACACACACACACACACAGAGCCCACAGCTAAGTCTATTCTTGGATATTGGAGATGTTCAGCTACACCACAGCAGCCAGATGATGAGAATGCACCACAGACAGAATTTCACAATAACTTATGCAGAGTAACAGATAAAACATATTTAAAAAGTGTATAAAGAGGACTGAACAGTTGTTGATAAAGTGGCCATTTAAAACTTAATTTAGTTTCTTTGTGACAGATTTGGTCTACTAATTTAGTCTACAGGACTTGTAGTAAAACACTTCAAAACTGTGCAGATGCTTTTGCAAACTCAGTCCTCATTTGTTTAGCAATAGTCCTCGATTAGAGTTTCCATGACTAATGAAATGATCTATGATGTTCAGAAATATGAGCAAACCCTTTCCTAACGAGTCAGTGAGCACTAAGGAACAGCTGAATAGGATATTGTTCTCTCATACTTCAAACTTGCAGTCTGGTCCTGACCAATCGGGTGTTTGGAGGGTGTTTTTTCAGTCAGTGTAGTTCCTTTTTACCAGCAGTTCTGTTTGCTCATGTGTGATAAGTGACCAAAGAACAGCTCTGGCCCGATGACATACTACTTTTTAGTCACACTAATAAACTATAAACCCATTGTTATTGCATTTAGGTAAAAGTCTCTGAAAAGTCTAGTGCATAAAATCCTTTAACCCTCCCATTGTTTTTCTTAACTTCATAGTTCTTACAACAGTTTCCTAAAGTTTATATTCTGTATTATT